TTCATTACAAATGTTTGTAGTGTCTGCTTTTTTGACTACAAATGTTTGTAGTCTCTGCCTTGTTTATTACAAAGGCTTGTAGTGTCCGCGTTTTTTGACTACAAATGTTTGTAGTCTCTGCCTTTTTCATTACAAATGTTTGTAGTGTCCGCTTTTTTCAACTACAAATGTCTGTAGTCTTTCCTTTTTACATTACATGAAGGTATATGGGGTATAGCTGATGTTTCACAGAATTTGACTGTAGTTGAACAGCTGGCAAACCATTCACTCTTTGTACCCTGCAAGGAATTACATTTAAGAGTAACTATGGGAAAGGGCAGATGGTTGCAACTGATTATGAAATAGAAAGGGAGGACAGCATAGTCCTGAAAGAGATCATGTTGAGGTTGGCTATGGTCAGACATACATGAGTCCCCAGAGATATGCAAAGAGTGTTGGAGATGATGAGAACATGACTGAAGCTGGTCAAAGGGAAAGTCAGGACAAGACAACTTGGGCATGAGTTTTGACATCTCAGTGTAGCCTCTTCTTACTTTCCATTTAATCATCATGTAATTCCCTGTATGGTACAAAGGCTGAATGATTAAGAGCTGTTTTGGCTAGACTCAGTTGCTCTGAAACATTGAGCTATGTCCTCATGTACCTAGATAGATACAGGGAGAATATCTTTGTAGGCTAAAAAAGCAGACACTAGTAACATTTGTAGTCCAAAAAGTGGACACTACAAACTTTGTAATGAAAAAGAGCACACAGTACAAGCCCTTGTAATGTAAAATGCAAAGACTACAGACATTTGTAGTCAAAAAAGCAGACACTACAAACATTTGTAATGAAAAAAGCGCACACTACAAGCCTTTGTAATGAAAAAGGCAGAGACTACAAACATTTGTAGTCAAAAAAGCGGACACTACAAACATTTGTAATGAAAAAAGCGCACACTACAAACATTTGTTAATGAAAAAGGCAAAGACTACAAACATTTGTAGTCAAAAAAGCGCACACTACAAACATTTGTAATGAAAAAGGCAAAAACTACAAACATTTGTAGTCAAAAAAGCGGACACTACAAACATTTGTAATGAAAAAAGCGCACACTACAAGCCTTTGTAATGAAAAAGGCAAAGACTACAAACATTTGTAGCCAACAAAGCGGACACTACAAACATTTGTAGTCCAAAAAGCGGACACTACAAACTTTAGTAATG